GGCCCTCCAAGATTGCGACATGCCAAACAAGGTCGATGAGTGGTCGCTAGCACGCGGCGCCGAGGCGCCCCGGGCGCCCGCCCCGTTATAGTCTTGCCAACGCCCCCGATTCTTCGGGCCCCCGAGGTCGCTGAGACCGGGGGGGCCCCCCTTCCGTTCGGGCGAAATCCCGCCGACGCTGGCGGGTTTCGTCCCGGACACTTTGCAGCCCTCTCGGCCGGGGCGCCGGCCGCGTTGGCCGCGTTCCCGCGTGCATTTGACGCAGTGGGAACGTGCCCGCGCGGATGCAGGTCATGGCCATTTCGCCGTTCGTGAACCCGAAGAAGGGGTTCGCGCCGATCGGCTTCTGCCGCGGCCCAGGCGGGATAGTTCAATGGAGCGCGCATGTCTTGCGAGGGCGGGAACTGGCGCTCGAGAAGTACGGCGAGTTTGACGCGGCTCGCGCGGGCGCGCTGCGGGTGGGGCCCGAGGGCGGACCATCAGGAAGGGGCGCCGTTCGTGTGAGCGACGGGCGTTTCCTTCATTTCTCGGGGGGCCTCAGGCAGCGTTGCGAGCGCGCGCGCGTCCAGCGCCGCGTTCCACCGGCCGCGCGCGCGCCCAGGTTCGGAGCCATGGCCGAGCTTAAATATTGAAATCAGCGTTGTCAGCCTCAACCTTGGTGGAACATCCCCAGCCTCTTGCGATCGGCAGCCCGGACTCTCTCAGGGCGCGCAGCTCGCTGGGCGGGGATCTGCGCGGGCCCTGCTGACGGAGAGCCTGATAGCATCGACCTGGGCTGCGATTTTGTTCCTGACCAGAGTCGCGCGCGGCCCCGAGCCACGGGCAGTTGATTCTGTGCGGGGTCAAGCCTGGTTTCGCTTGCGGCGAGGACATCAGCGATGCATTTACACTTGGCGTTGCGCCCCTGCCCAGTGGTAGATCCCCTTGCCCGCGCGGCGGCCAGCCTGGCGTGGCATTGCAGGGGGTATAGTGGGTCGCCGCTAACCGACAGCTCAAGGCCCGCGGCAGTTTCGCGCCTTTGGGGCCCAACGAGGCTTTCGACAGGGTCGCGCGCGATTTCGAGAGCACCCGGAGATCCGCCGGGCCGGGGCGCATTGCCCGACCGCGTTTTTTTCTGCGGCGGTAATTGCACCGCTGCCGGGCCCCGCCAGTGGCTGCCAGGCCTCGCCGCCGCGCAGATCGCGCGGCGCGAGAACGGAATCGGCCCGGCATTGCGCGCGGGAATGCAGTCCGAAGAATTTTGGATAGGGGCGGGATTGTTGATGGAGGCTATAGCTGCAGGCTTGGCGACTTGCTGCTTGGTCACCTGTGGGTGCCGATTCGCGAGCAAGTGGGCCCCGCCCATCCTGCTGGAATTCGTTGCGTTCCTGGGCGCCGAGGGTTCCACGGGCAATTTCTTGCGCGGGGGAGATGACGAGATTTGTCTGGGCGGCAGCTGCTACGGCCCCGAGTTGTCAGGCTCAGGAGGGCCCAGAGCGGGTCGGTCAGCGATGGCGGCCGGCGAGCGCGCTTCTCTCAGGACGGCGATGTTCGGCCCAGTCCCCGTTTTGTTTCTGCAGCATGCGACAATCTTCGGCGAGCATCTTGCAGTGCTTCGGGGCCCATGCAAAACAGAGCATGGGCCCGTTTTTCGCGGCGAAGGTGGACTGTGCAGCGCTCGCGAGAAGGTCTGGCTTCCCGTGCAAGAATATTGGTCGCAAGACCAGTTTGACGCATGCCTGGCGCAATGTGTTCGACAGCCCCCTGCTTGTCTTTGTCCAAGGTGATGGCCCACGCGAACCTGGCAGACAACGCTGACGAGCTTGCTGTTTCGAAATTCCGTGGGTGCGAACTCGCTGATGAATGCCTGAGGCCCCGAACATAATATTTACACGTTCTACTACATGTGATGACCCAGAGAAGCAATTAAGACCCCCCCCCTCTCTGGCGAAAGTATAACGCTCCAGCCCCCTGGAAGTGTTACCCCGGCACCTCGCAACCTGCTTTGAACGCAGACGAGTCTGCCCGCCGGACGCGCAACTGAGGACTTGCTCAGCGCCTCAGACTGGAGTTCCAGTTGCCCGCGCAGGCCGCTTCGAATCATGCACGTCGCCATCGTCGTCATCAGCGTTACCGTCGCCGCGGCAGTAGCACGAGTCAGGGGGGGAATCGGAATATTTAGGGAACCTACAGTTTCCCATGGGGATACCGCCCGCGACAAGGCGCGGGAAATTGATGATTTTTTTTCCTCTTGTGCGGTGCTGCAGGTATCGTTCCGCGGACCCCCCCCCCCCAGGAATTATTCAATTACGGCGCGGTGCTAACGATGACCCCGGGGGGGTAGGTGGTTAGGTGGTTAAGTGGTTTGCACCGGCCAGTCAGATGGCCAGCGTGTTAGAGCTCTTTGAGGACCTTGCCAGAGTTGCCCGTGCCAGGAAGGGTTCCAGGCCCCTCTGCCCTCGCGAGGATCATGAGTGTCGCTGGAACGGCACCTGCTAGCAGTGCCTCAGTTGTGTTCGGACTCTTGCTAAGCCGCCCAGCGGGGCCAACTTCTGTGCGCAGCTAGCCCCGAGCCTCCTGGTTCTGTAGCCCCTGGAAGAGCCCGCAGGCCCTGGGTAGCTAGGTGTTCCGATGCAGGTCCACGTTCTGTTTTCTGGTAGGTGCGGTGTCTACTGCGCGGGAGCCCCGCGTACGCTCCTCGAGCCCTGCGATAAGATGCTCCAGGCCCAGAAGCGGCCCTTGGAGGCAGGTCAGATTCCGCGCCGACGGGCCACCACATCTGCAAGCTTTGGCCCCCCAGGTCGAGGGCGGCAGAATGGTGGGTCAATTTCGCGAGGGTGCGGCCCGCAAATCTCTGATCTTGCTGTTTCTCTGTTTCTTATTCCCAACCTTCCTGTGGTGTTGGGTCGTCGTTTTGAAGAAACGTCGCCCCGTGTTTTCCTTTCCTCCTCTGTCCCTTCCTCATGCTACCGTCCACATGCGTCCCGCACACCCAGTACAGCGTTTCGTCGCCCTCCTCCCCCTCCTCCCTGCGTTTCACTCACCCAGTACAGCGCTTCGTGAGCCCATAGGGAGCCCCACCGAAGGTCCCAGTGCTACCGTCCGCATGCGTCCCGCACACCCAGTACAGCGTTTCGTGGCCCCATAGGGAACCCCACCGAAGGTCCCAGTGCTACCGTCCGCATGCGTCCCGCACACCTAGTGCAGCGCTTCGTGGCTCCATAGGGAGCTCCACCGAAGGTTCAGTGCTACCGTCCGCATGCGTCCCGCACACCCAGTGTAGCGTTTCGTGGCCCTCCTCCCCCTCCTCCCTGCGTTTCACTCACCCAGTACAGCGTTTCGTGGGCCCATAGGGAGCCCCACTGAAGGTCCCAGTGATACCGTCCGCATGCGTCCCGCACACCCAGTACATCGCTTCGTGGCCCCATAGGGAGCTCCACCGAAGGTTCAGTGCTACCGTCCGCATGCGTCCCGCACACCCAGTACAGCGTTTCGTCGCCCTCCTCCCCCTCCTCCCTGCGCTTCACCCACCCAGTACAGCGCTTCGTGAACCCATAGGGAGCCCCACCGAAGGTCCCAGTGCTACCGTCCGCATGCGTCCCGCACACCCAGTACAGCGTTTCGTGGCCCCATAGCCCCACCGAAGGTCCCAGTGCTACCGTCCGCATGCGTCCCGCACACCCAGTGCAGCGCTTCGTGGCCCCATAGGGAGCTCCACCGAAGGTCCCAGTGCTACCGTCCGCATGCGTCCCGCACACCCAGTACAGCGTTTCGTCGCCCTCCTCCCCCTCCTCACTGCGCTTCACTCACCCAGTACAGCGCTTCGTGGCTCCATAGGGATCCCCACCGAAGGTCCCAGTGCTACCGTCCGCATGCGTCCCGTACGCCCAGTCAGCGTTTCGTGGTCCCATAGGGAGCCCCACCGAAGGTCCCAGTGCTACCGTCCGCATGCGTCCCGCACACCCAGTACAGCGTTTCGTCGCCCTCCTCCCCCTCCTCACTGCGCTTCACTCACCCAGTACAGCGCTTCGTGGCTCCATAGGGATCCCCACCGAAGGTCCCAGTGCTACCGTCCGCATGCGTCCCGTACGCCCAGTCAGCGTTTCGTGGTCCCATAGGGAGCCCCACCGAAGGTCCCAGTGCTACCGTCCGCATGCGTCCCGCACACCCAGTACAGCGTTTCGTGGCCCCATCGGGAGCTCCCTCGAAGGCCCCAGTGCCCCCGTCCGCATGCGTCCCGGAAACCCAATTTGATATTTTCACCCACCCAGTGCAGCGTTTCGTGCCCCATAGGGGGTTCCACCCAAGGCCCCAGTGCCACCGTCCGCATGCGTCCGGGAAATGTAATTTGGCATTTTCACCCGCCCAGTGCAGCGCTTCGTGGCCCCATAGGGGGCTCCACCGAATCCCCCAGTGGGACCGTCCGCATGCGGTCCGGAAACCCAATTTGGCATTTTCACTCACTCAGTAGAGCGGTTCGTGACCCCATAGGGAGCTCCACCGAAGCCCTCAGTGGGACCGTCCGCATGCGTCCCGGAAACCCAATTCGGCACACACACACAGTACGACGTTCCCCCCCGCCCAGTGCAGCGCTTCGTGGCCCCATAGGGAGCTTCACCGAAGCAGATATTCACAATTACGGTACCCACAACTGCATATGGTTGGAACCTTCGCCAGGATAATGTTTTTTTTCAGTTTCCTCGATCATGATCGTTTCGGGGTGCGGGTACGTTGCGAAACATGGAGGAGGAATAATTCGGTGGGGGGGGATGAGCAGGGAACGGGGGGCAGGGATGACTGGGAGAAAGAGAAGAACCATGACACAGGAGATACATGATACATGGGCAGGGGGCAGCGAGGAGGAGGGTGGGGGAAAGGGAAGGGTAGGACCGGGTAGGAGGAGGAGGAGGAGGAGGAGGAGGAGGAGGAGGAGGAGGAGGAGGAGGAGGAGGAGGAAACAGGAGGAGGAGGAGGAGGAGGAAAAGAAGAGGAACAATGGAGATGCCCGCCCGGTCGTCGAGGCGTTCGTACATGGGGGCCTGGGCTCCAAGGGCCAGCAGCTGGCGCCTAGACCAGTCTGGGGCACCTGCGCGGGCTGCATCTTGTGGCCTGGGACGTTCTAAACTCAACTGGGTGTGGCCAGGCCCGGGCAGCCTGGAGGGGTCTCGGGGGAAAAGCCCCCCAGATCCGGTCGACGCAAACACATCGTGATAGTAGGTCTTCCGTCGTTTTGTTCGGCCTCCAGGGGGCCCGCCCCCGGCCCTGGTGAGATCTCTGGGGGCCGATGTCACAGCAGACTCGCGGCGTCAGAGAGGGAGGGCGGGAGAGCCCCGAATCGCATCGCGGCTCCAGGCCTCCTGACCCCCCCCACCAGAGGCCGGGGATTGTAAAACAGCGACTCAGGTTGGCGCGTAGATTCACGAACAGTTTGCGTACGCTGGCGATGTGACACCACACTCGCGGTAAGACGCATACGTGCCCTTTGAGCCCAGCGCTGCAGTGGAAGCCAGTCTGCTCAGAGAGCGGTGCAGGACCAGGGAGACCTGTACCCCCCCCCCCGCCCCTCCGCACACGTCTTTGGCGGCGCGCCCGCGCAGCACCGCGACGCGGCGGCGTCAGTCGGAGAAGCGCGGCCGCCAATGCCACAGAAGAGGCTGGTCGGGCGGGGCCAGGGCGAGGATAAATCCGTTCCAGAGCGTTCCCGAACGCTCAGAGCGGTCGGGAACGCTCTGAGAAGGCCGCGGCGCCCGATACATCCTCGAGGGCCGTCGGATCTCAGAGATTCCCAATGGATCCTCACCCGATGTTATCCTCGTCCTGGCTTCGTCTTAGCTGGGGGCTCCCGCAGTCCAGCGAGGACGACCCCACCAACACACGTTCCCACATTGGGTCCCTTCAGCGCAAAATCCGTTGCCCCCCCCCAGTGGAAGTTGGCGGAGAGCCGGCGGAAGGCGGCGCGAGTATGGGCGAGATGTTATCATTTTTGGTTTCAGAGCTTCCAGAGTGTGGGACTTGTTGTTGCACCGAACATAAGGACAAGTCCCTATATTTACCTTGGCCCAGCGTTTCGCCAGCGGCTTCGGAGGGAGCTGGCCCAGTTTCACGGTTCCCTGCGAATCTCTGGGGCTGTGCGTGCAACGCTGTCCTGGCGTGTGCCCAAGACTATGCCTCAAAGTTGCCCCAGGTTCCTGAAGCGAGCTTTTCTGGATCAAGACCCTGGTTCCGTTGGTATTGACATGCCCACGGGAGCCTTACCGCCTGGGCTTTGATCCAGACTGTTTGCGGCAAGTGTCTTCCCCCCATCTGCATATCTGGACGTCTGCTTCTCTTGCCCGAATATATTTGTTGAAAATTCAACTATCAGGATTCGTGCCACTTTGATGGTGTCTCGCTCCCAGGACCACGATCCCACCCGATGTGGGACGTGCTATGCGATGCTTCCTCTCTCTCTCAAAGGGGCGGTCTCCGCTCGCAGGGCCTCTGGCCCGCTGTCCAAAGGAATGCAAACGCGAGGCATTCTCGCTGCCATAGGCTGCCACAGGCATGTGCCCGGTGCATGCGAGAGGTGCCGCTGCGAGACGAAGATGCGGATTCAGTGGTGGTTGCCGAAATGTTGGCTCTCCACAGCGGCACCTCTGGCATGCCGAGCCGTCGCCACTGGCCATGCGGCATGCCGAGACCCGTCGCGGGCGTCTTCGATCCCGGCGCTGCGAAGCACTGGCAGTGTCGCAGTGCCCGTTACTACGTGGAGTCCTTCAGCGCTTCTCCATTCGAGTCGAAGTGTACGCTTCCGCACGCGGCTGGCGACCGAGCCCTCCTCTTTGCCTTGTGTCAGGTGTCCTGCTCCCTTCCTGCCGTTCCATGGCGGTGTGGCTCGGGGAGCCGGGGAGGTTGGCCCCACTGTGTTTAAGATGCGAGAAACAGCACTCCATTCTAACGGAGAGAGGGTTGCCGCTCGCGCGAATCCATTTCCAGGAGCACGCATCGGTTTGCTGGATCGGGGCGCGCAATTGTCGTTGCGAGGTCCCGGTGGACCCCATGGGGGTCCTGAGGGCCCTGGAGCCGTCTGGGAGATGCTCTTGGCTGGAGTGGGACCGTCTAGGGTATGAGTTAGACGACCTTGTGGCCCTGTTGGCCGGGGCCCTGAGCAGCGCCTCTTGGCGTGCTCTTGGATCTCTTTGAATGGCCCAGGTGCCGCCATGGGGCCGTCCAGTGAGCGTCGAACACTTTCCGGAAGCTATCTCGGGCGAAAAGGCATACAGAATTGCAACCATTGTCAATCAGTTTGTTTCTGAGTAGTGCTTGCTTCGTACGTGGTCGTCGGTGGGCTTCTCTGGGAGCGGTACGGGGAAGCTCTCGATGGCTGTTGCGTTGCGGCTGGTACGCCGTGCCCCACTTCCGAGACATGAGTCGACAGTATTGCCAGCATTGAAGCGTGAATAATCGTTTCCTGAAAGGTTCAAGGGATATGTTGTCGATCTCAATATTGTGGACAGCCTTGCAGCCGTCTTACAGTCTGGGGCTGACTATTGACACGCAGGCGCGGTGAAAGTTCGCCAGTGCTTTTGTAATGTGGACGCTCCTCGTGAAGGGATCACGCGGGGTGCTATGATGTGCGCCCGTGCTCTTGATTTTGCTTCCGCTTTCGCACCTCGCCTGTACATCGGAACAGGTAATGTCCGAAAGGGCGCCGCACATATCTTCTACCGTCCATCCAGCGAAGCCCCGTGGCCGAGAAGCAGGGGGTGGGCGAGGGGGAGAAGGAGGAAAGGGGGGGGGGGGGGGGGGGGGGCAAACCGACGCGGCACACGAAACGCCCGCGTGCGTCCGTCATCCGAGCTTTGGCTGGCTCTGTGGCAGCGCAGCTCAGCTCAGGGCGCGAACCTGCTGCGGAGCCTCCAGGGCGTCGGCGTTTGCACCGCCCAGCCTGCGGAATTGTCGGAGAATGCCAGGAAGCTTTAGTCTGCGGGTCCTTCCTGGTCAGTGCCCCGACTCTCTTCGCCGCCTGTACCTTCGGGTTCTCCTTGGGACGAGGGCCACTCGGGCCCCCTGGGTCCTGTCTGGGCTTCTCCTCGGGCCCCCCGTGTAGATCTGGGGCGCCAGTGGGCTCGAGACGAGGTCGCGTCCTTAGTCGCGGGCTCCCTATGGCAAGGCTCTGACCAGAACTCCCATCCTCTTCAGCCGTGCTCCACGCTCTTCGTAGGACGGCCCATGGTCGTGCCAGCCGCGTCGTCCTCCCCGCGTCCCTCCTCGCGCTGCCCAGGCTGTCCGACAACGTCGTGGGCGGAGGGGGGCTGCGGGATGCTATCTGCAAGGAGGAGCCGGCGCAGAAGAAGTGCAAGCGCGGGGCTCGGGCTTGCGCGCGGATCGATCCCACGGGGCTTCTGCCAGGCCGGGCCCGTCCCCGCCCCGCAGTGGCGCCTGCACGCTCCTGCGGGCCCCGACGGGTCCAGTCCTGGGCGCCCTGGGCCCAAGGAGGGTGCAGTCAACCCGCACAGGAAGGATGGGCGGCGTTCCAAGGTTACCCTTGCATCCTTCCCCTGCGGCCCATCCTTGGCCACTTTCGCTGGCCGCGCCCCGCTCGCAGAGTGTCGACATGGCCTTCTGAGGCCGTCGCATCCTTGTCGTGCGTCCATATGATACAAGTTGACTGTAGTTGGGCGATGGGCTTCGGAAGGCTTTTTGTGGCTTCTGGCCTGCTGCCCATTCCACCACCGTGCCTTGGGAGTCTCCAGGCCAGGGCTTTATCGAGGGCACGCATGGGGCCACTGGTCCTTCCCCCACTCGCACCCGCACCCTTGGGAGTTTCCAGGCCAGGGCCTCTGCGGGTACGTGCAGGGGCCTTCGGAGAGATCTCTACCTTGGGGCGCTCCACTGCGTACTCGAGGAACGGTGGCGGATATAGCGTAATCGCGCGTCAAGCGTTCTTGCCAGGTCCGGTCTGCACTGCGCCGTGCTGCAGGGTGGGAGATGGTGGGATGTGTGACGGCCCCCTGTGAGGCCGCCCTTGCAGGGAAGGCGTAGCTGTGACGGGCGCGGCATCCGACATCTCCTCTCCCCGCTCGGGATTTGGATGGGTGGTGTAGTGTCGCGGCGATGTGGTGACGCGGTTCTGTGGCGTGGTGTCACGATGTCGTGGAGTCGGGGTGTCGAGTCGCGGCGTCGACATCGGGTAATTGTCGAGGTTTTGCGGGGTTGTTTCATCCTGTCACCGTGCCGTGGTGTCGGCGTGTCGCACGCAGGATGTAAATAACCCAAGCCAAAGCTCAAGCTACTGTTGTAGTCAAGCCCCTGGTAAAGCCTGGACTATCACTAAAGCAAAAGCTGGAGCTCGGAGCAAATGCGGAGCTATATGCGAAGCTGGCGGAAGAGTAACATGCTAAAGCCACAGGTAGAGGCTCGCGACCACAACGGCCACGGCCACGACAGCGGCGACCACGGCGACGACGACGACGGCAGCGTCGACGTCGACGACGGGAGAGGTACGGAGAGCAAGTCGGCGGCCTTGCCATCTCAACGTGCCGCAACTTCTTCGGCCGCCAGACCGAGTCGTTCGAGGCGCCCCCGTCTCGCCTCCCTGATCGGCGGAGTCGCGCGGGCCCTTGGGGGGGAGCTGCCTCGTCGAAGCAGTTCTTCAAATCACGTCTAAGAACACACTGTGAACACACCCCCAGCAGGAAAGCTCGGGGGGATCCCGCACCCAGACTTCCATCTCATGGAGGAAAAGACATTGTTGGGGGGTTTACTGCAGCCTTCGACCTCACCAGGGGGCGGCTACTCGGCCCCAGGCCCGTCAGCAAAGGACCCGAGCGGGGTGGAAAGCCACCCCAGAGGGGGGCGGGAGGTCCAGGGGACCAGTGGCTGGAAGCGAGTCGCGCCGGGGGAGGTCTGGGCTCGAAGAACAGAAGCGGTGTGCAACCATGCACTCCAGTCGTTGAACGCACGTGTGACGGAAACCGCGCGTAGCGTCGGGATCCGTTAGCCGGGAGAGATAACAAGGGGGGGTGGGGGGGTATGCAGGGGGCGACCCAGGTTGACGGAAAGCGCGCGTTAGCGTGCGTTCCGTTAGTCGGAAGAGATTGGACTTGGGGGAGTTCGAGGGGGGTGGCATCGCCGGGCCCGGATCTAATTGCCCTCCCGCCTCGTTTTTTATCGAGTAGGACGGCCTTCGGGGCTTAAAAACAGCGTTTCGCTCGAGACATCATCGGAAAACGCTTCTTGGGCGCTTCTTGGGCCGTCTTAGGCGCCTAAGACAGCCCAAGAAGCGGCCAAGACGGCGCCCAAGACGGCCCAAGAAGCGCCCAAGACGGCCCAAGAGCGCTCCAAGAGAGCCCAAGACCGCCCAAGGCGGCCCCAAGACGTGCCAAGAGGCCTCCACGACGCCCCCGGAGGCGCCCACGAGGCGTCCCAAGAGGGCCCCAAGAGGCCACAATCATTGATTTTCATAAGGAAAACGTGCATTTTTAGCATATGCGGCTTTTCGCCTTTCATGGCGTTGAAGACGGTCCAAGAGGCCCCCAAGACCGTCCCAAGACGGCGCACGATGTTCCCAAGAGGCCCCCAAAATAGCCCAAGAGGGCGCCAAGACGGGCCAAGAGGCGTCCAAGACTGTCCAAGAGGCCCCCAAGAGCGCCCCAAGAAGGCCCAAGAGGCCCCCAAGAAGGCCCCACAACGGCCCAAGAGGGCGCCAAGACGGCCCAAGACGGCGCCAGGAAGGCCCCAAGAAGGCCCCAAGAAGGCCCCCAAAGGCCCCCAAGAGAGCCCAAAGACGGCCAAAGGCAGCCTAGTCCCTTCACCCCCGTAGCCCAGAAGCTCCCAGGAGGCCCCAAGAGGCCCCCGAAAAGCTCCAAAAGGTCCCCAAGAGGCACCCAAGAGGCTCCCCAAGAGCCCCCCAAGAGGCCCAAAATACTCCCAAAGGCTCTTAGCACCGCGGCTCCCAAGAGCGAGCGGTGACGTAATCGAGCTGATAAGACCAAAGCTCCCAACAGAGAGCTGCGGCGTCATAAGTTCTTGACGCCCGGGCACAGGGACGGGCGGCAACGCGTGGACAACGAGCGGTCCACGCAAGGACAACGCGGGGTTCTGGAAAGCTGGCAGCCCAAACGCGGAAAACGCAACGCGACCCGACCGCCCCCTCCAAAACAAGAAACGCGCTCAAGGAAAGCTCCGCGACTCTCCGAGGCTGAGATAGGACAAGAGCGAGGGGAAGGGAGTCAATAAGAGGTGTAAGAGCGGACGAGCCAGCGATCTCGTGCGCTCTGACAGTAAGTGCTCTTTCCGTCCCCGTGCCAAGCAGGTGACGGAAAGAGCGAGGTACGAGCGAGTGACGTTGAGTAGGGGGCGAAGCCCTTCTTAGGGGGGGTCCAGGGGGGTGCGAGGCACGGGCGGAAAGTCTAATAGCCCGTTTCCCTCGTATTTGTTCGAGTGAAGCGGCTCCCAGGCGGCTCCCATGGCCCGTTTTGTTGTATTGTTTCCCCAGACGGGCCCAAGACGGCCCAGAGGCCCCAAATATCGCCCCAAGACGGCCCCAGAGGCGCCCCAAACGGCCCCAAAACGGTCCAAGAGGGCCCCCAGACGGGCCCAAGACGGCCTAAGAGGCCCCAAAGATCATCCCAAGACGGCCCCGGAGGAGGCTCCCAGACGGCCCCAATACGGCCAAGAGGGCCCTAAGAGAGCCCAAGAGGGCCCCAATAGGCTCCCCAGCGCGCCCGAAGAGGAGGAGGGGGAGGAGGAGGAGGAGGAGGAGGAGGAGGAGGAGGAGGAGGAGGAGGAGAAGGAGGAAGAGGAGGAAGGAGGAAGAGAAGAGGAGGAGGATGGAGGAGGAGGTGGGGGAGGACGGAGGTGGAGGAGGAGGGAGGAGGACGGAGGAGGAGGACGGAGGAGGAGGAGGAGGAGGAGGAGGAGGAGGAGGAGGAGGAGGAGGAGGAGGAGGAGGTGGAAGGATGACGACGCCGACGCCGGCACCGTCGAGGAGGAGGAGGACGAGGAGGAGGAGGAGGAGGAGGAGGAGGAGGAGGAGGAGGAGGAGGAGGAGGAGGCGGATGAAGGGAGAGGCCAAAGGAGGAGGTGGAGGGAGGTCGAAAGGAGGAGGGGGAGGAAAAAAGAGGAGGAGGAGGAGGAGGAGTTAAGGAGGAGGAGGAGGAGGGGAGGAGGGAGGAGGAGGGAACGAGGATACGAGGTCGAGGACGAGGATGAGGACGAGGCCGAGGCCAATCCGGCAAGAGGGCCGAGGTCCCTAAGAGAGCAAGAGGGCCCCATAGGCTCCAGCGCGCCCTCCGAGAGGAGGAGGGGGAGGAGGAGGAGGAGGAGGAGGGGAGGAGGGGAGGGGGAGGAGGAGGAGGAGGAGGAGGCAGAAGGGAGGAGGGAAGAGGAGGAAGGAGGAGCGAGGAGGAGGAGGGAGGAGGAGGAGGAGAAGGAGGAAGAGGAGGAGGGTGGATCAGGAGGAGGAGGAGAAGGAGGAGGAGGAGGAGGAGGAGGAGGAGGAGAGGAGAGGAAGAGGAGGAGGAGGAGGAGGAGGAGGAGGAGGAGGAGGAGGGAGGAGGAGGAGGAGGAGGAGGAGGAGGAGGAGGAGGAGGAGGAGGAACGAAGGGTGACGTAACAAGCTCTCAACGCCAAGGCTCCCAATACGAACGGTGGTGTGAGTAACTTCGGTTAATGTGTTTGAGGCGCTCTTTCCGTGTCCGTGCCGGCCCAGGTCTAATGCCCCGTTTCCTTAGTATTTTTCGAGTGAAGCGGCTCACATGGCGTGTTTCTTTGTATTTTTTCTGGTTAACCGGCCAGAGGGCCCCAAGATGGCGCAAGAGGGCCCTCCGCAGCCATTTTGGCTCAAGTCCCGCAGCAGCCTTGCGGGCCCCTGCCGGGCCCCCCCCACCGCGGGTCGGGGGGACCACGAACCGAAAAGTCTAGCCTATCGCCCCAAGACGCTCCCAGGAGGCCCCCACAGCCCCCCAAGAAGCCTCAAGATGCCCCCAAGAGGCGTCCCAGGAGGCCACCAGGAGGCCCAAATCATAGATTTCCCAATTGGAAAACATACATTTTTAGCATGCACGGCTTTTCGGCTTTCACGGCGTTGACGACGGTCGAAGAGGCCCCCAAGACCGCCCCAAGACGGCCCAAGGGGCACCCAAGAGGCCCCAACAACAGCCCAAGATGGCGCCAAGACGGCCCAAGAGGCGCCTAAGACGGCCCAAGAGGGCCCCAAGACGGCCCCAAGAGGGGGACCACGAACCCGACAGTCTAGCCTTTCGCCCCAAGACGCTCTCAGGAGGCCCCCACAGACCCCCAAGAAGCCCCAAGAGGCCCCCAAGAGGCCCCCAAAGAGGGCCCGAAAAGGGCCCCCAATAAGACTCGCACGAAGGCCCAGAGACGCCAAGAGCGATCGCTAATACAAAAAGCTCTTCACACCAAGGCTCCCAAGAGCGAACGGTTACGTAAACAAGCTGATGAGACCAAGGCTCCCAGCAGGGAGCGGTGACGTGACAAGTTCCTCACACCAAGGCCCAGCCAAAGCTGAGGAACGGGCGGCAACGCAACAATCTCTGAACACCACGGCTCCCAAGAGCGCGGGGTGACGTCATAAGCTCTCAACGCCAAGGCTCCTGGTACGAACGGTGGTGTGCGTACTTTCGGTTTCTGTTGCTGCAGCGCTCTTTCCGTTTCTGTGCCGGGCCAGGTAACGGAAAGAGCGAGGTATGAGCGATGACGTTGTGTTGGGGCGAAGCCCTAGAGGGAGGGGTTCCAGGGGAGGGGCGAAGCGTCAGGGCATTGGCGTTAATGGCCGTTTTGGGGGTTTTCCCTATGGTTTTTGTATGTTTTTCGGATTCTCTCTCCAGACGGCCGAACTTCTCTTTCAAAACAGCCCAAGAGCGCTCCAAGAGAGCCCAAGACCGCCCAAGACGGCCCAAGAGGCCCCAAGAGGCTCCCAAGAGGCGCCCAAGGGGCGTCCCAAGAGGGCCCCAAGAGGCCCAAATCATCGATTTCCCAAAGAAAACGTACACTTTTTGCGTATACGGCTTTTCGGCTTCCACGGCGTAGACGACGGCCCAAGAGGCCCCCAAGACGCCCCAATACTGCTCAAAAAGCTCCCAAGAGGCCCCCAAAACGGCCTAAGAGGGCACCCAGACGGCTCAAGAGGCGCCCAAGACGACCCAAGAGGGCCCCAAGACGGCCCCAAGAGGGGGACCACGAACCGAAAAGTTTAGCCTTTCGCCCCAAGACGCTCCCGGGAGGCCCCCACAGACCCCCAAGAAGCCCCAAGAGGCCCCCGAGAGGCGTCCCACGAGGCCAACAGGAGGCCAAACTTATCGATTTCCTATTGGAAGACGTACATTTTTAGCATACACGGCTTTTTGCTTTTGACGGCTTTGAAGACGCTCCGAGAGGCCCCCAAGACCGCCCCAAGACTGCCCAAGAGGCTCCCAAGAGGCCCCCAAAAAGGCCCAAGAGGGCGCCAAGGCGGCCCAAGAGGCGCCCAAGACGGCCAAAGAGGGCCCTAAGACGGCCCTAAGAGGGGGACCACGAACCCGAAAGTCTAGCCTTAGGAGGCCCCCAGAGACCCC